TATCAACCTCAGGATGGGTAAGGGATGACTATCAACCTCAGGTGAGTATTGAGTGATCGTTGTTCATAGTAATGACATATGTCTCTCCTTCCCCCATCCCCATGGTGCCTGCCACCTGGTGGTGTGCATGACAGTTACCTGCTGCGTGACTACACCATGCAGGTCAGAACCTACTACGAGGGCTTCAGGACGCCAGCTGCCGCCTTCTTCGACCACCTTCTGCCACAGCTGGTTGACCTGCAATTCGCTCACGGAGGTTCCATTATTGCAGTTCAGGTGAGGTTCTAACTCAAATAAAATTACTTTTATTATTATTGGGGTGAGTATTGGCTTTCTCAGTCCAATACAGAGAAGAATAGTGGAAGATCAGAAGCAGTTTGAGGTAATCTGTCCCTCCCTCCAGATGAGGGACTGATTCCTTCAAAGTCACCTTGAACTTCCACCATTCTTCTTTGTACTGGACCGAGGAAGAACCTGCCTGGCGAAGAGTTTCCACAATAAAGATACCCATGACTCGCACAAGTGTCTGATCCACAAGACATACTAACACTGCGTAACTGAGCGTTGTTGTAGGTGGAGAACGAGTATGGACACTTCGGGTACGGGGACGAGCCTCGGGACACACTCTACCTGGAGTATCTCAGAGACAACCTTGTGGATAATGGCTTCGGTGATTCACTTTTCTTCACCTCTGACTCACCATCAAGCACTAGAGATCTCGGCGCCATCCCAGGAGGTACAGTGCCATATGTTTATTTATTAATTGGTTGGTTGAAGGGTTTCCAGCCTACCGATTGTATGTTATAAAGGCTACAGTCAACACCAGTAAAATGTACTTTAAATTTATTTAAGGTTACTTAAAATCAGTGATCTGTATGTTTTTCGTTGTTATGATTAATTTCCGCAGAATTACGTATAAGAATTTACTCTGCTTATTCAGAAGGAAACACCCTTTACGAATAGGCCTAACTCACAGGCTCAGTTTATTCAGCACCACACACACACACACACACACACAACACACACACACACACACACACACACACACACACACACACACACACACACACACACACACACAAATGCAAAGTCATGAAGATCGGAGAAGGACAAAGAAGACCGTAGACAGAGTATAGGCTAGAAGGCCAAAGACTGTAAACCTCACTCAAGGAGAAAGACCTAGGAGTGAGTATAATACCGAGTACATCGCCAGAAGCACACATTAACCAAATAACTGCTGCAGCATATGGGCGCCTGGCAAACCTGAGAACAGCATTCCGATACCTTAGTAAGGAATCGTTCAAGACACTGTGCACTGTGTACGTCAGGCCCATACTGGAGTATGCAGCACCTGTTTGGAACCCGCACTTGATCAAGCACGTCAAGAAATTAGAGAAAGTACAAAGGTTTGCGACAAGGTTAGTTCCAGAGCTAAGGGGAATGTCCTGCGAAGAAAGGTTGAGGGAAATCGGCTTGACGACACTGGAGGACAGGAGGGTCAGGGGAGACATGATAACGACATATAAAATACTGCGCGGAATAGACAAGGTGGACAAAGACAGGATGTTTCAGAGATGGGACACAGACACAAGAGGTCACAATTGGAAGTTGAAGACCCAGATGAGTCAAAGGGTTGTTAGGAAGTATTTCTTCAGTCATAGAGTTGTCAGGAAGTGGAATAGCCTAGTAAGTGAGGTAGTGGAGGCAGGAACCATACATAGTTTTAAGATGAGGTATGATAAAATTCATGGAGCAGGGAGAAAGAGGACCTAGTAAGACTCAGCGAAGTGGCGGGGCCAGGAGCTGAGTCTCGACCCCTGCAACCACAATTAGGTGAGTACATGTATACAGTACGACCGCCGTATCCGCGTGTCCGGTTTCCAGTCATCTGCTCTTTACCATGGCCCGAAAATATTGCTTAATAATGTTAATATTGCTTAATAATGAGACCAAAGTAGTGATGGTGACAGTTTTCACAGCACAAGAGACGTCGTGAAGTGCTTCCCGTCAGTGATAAAAGTAGTTAGTTACTTAGTTAAAGATTAGCCGGTATTCTCCCGGCCCGGGCCTTGTCCAAGTGGTGGCCCGGCCTTGGCTCCCTCTTTAGGGAGTGTCTGAGACCTAAGTCTCCCATGGGAGGAGGCACAAGCACCTCCTCATCTTTGGGACCAACTGTCCCCAGGCCTAGCCACAAGCTAGGCCTCTCTGGTCTGCCATCCCCGCCCCAAGGGGGCTAATGGGAATGACAGTCTTATGAGCTAAAGGCTCGGGCTCAGGCACCTACCCTACCCTAGAAGGGTTAGGCATGGTATCGATCAGTGATAAAAGTACTAATTATCGATTTATTGTGTATAATTTACCAATTAAACTTAAACATAGGTATGTATGTAAACAAAAAAATTATTTAAATGTAGGGTTTGGTACTGTCACAGTTTAGTAAATGACTTAAAATCACTTGTTTCGTCATATCATTGCTATTATAAACTGCTTGTTGAGGCGGGTATTCAAACAGGATGAGGCTGAAATCCTTGAGATACCACTGCCACGAGTGTCCTCGGACCAAAACAAACACCTAGCTAAGTGCTGTGTGCTTGGTTCTTGTAGGATCAGTGGTGTAGTGGTAAGGTGATGCCTGCGTTGTTCTCTCTCTTGAGGCGGTACAAGGTTCGTAGGGTCGAGTCCTGGCTTAATGCAGTTTGATAAATGACTATGTATATATATATATATATATATATATATATATATATATATATATATATATATATATATATATATATATATATATATATATATATATATGTCGTGCCGAATAGGCAGAACTTGCGATCTTGGCTTAAATAGCAACGCTCATCTTGCCATATAGGACAAGTGAAAATTTTTTTATGCAATAATTTCGCAAAATCATTCTGAACCTAACGAAAAAAAATATATTTCATTGTGTTTGTTTAGTATTAAATTATTGTAAACTTATCTAAAATATATTTAGTTGGATTAGGCTAAATTAATTTGCGCTTGTTATACTAAGGTCAGGTAAGTTTTCTAAGGTTCTTTTGGTACAAAATTATTAATTTTTAAATTAACATATATGAAAAAAAAATATTTTAAATGTATATGAGAAAATTCTTACAAAGGACTTAATTTTAAATGAGTTCTTGTTAACTGACCAATTATACGTATTCGACACGACATTATATATATATATATATATATATATATATATATATATATATATATATATATATATATATATATATATATATATATATATATACATATATATATATAAATATATATATATATATATATTATATATATATATATATATAATATTTTAATATATATATATATATATATATATATATATATATATATATATATACATATATATATTCTTAACAATTCGCAAAGGGGCGAAGTTATTTGCATGCATCTTCTCTCAGCTACCTGCACATTATGTATCAGAGTACACAGTACTTTCGCCTCTCATCCAATTGAAGGTGGAGAAAATTCTGTCTACTGTGCTACAGAGTGCTCAGGTTTCGAATCCTGTTTTGGGATGATAGATAAAATATTATATATGTATGTATGTATGTATGTAGCTCCATCAACGAATGCCAATTTTTTTCAACTGTCTCCAGTATATTAGTCACTTCTGTATTCAACTGAATAAGCCTGCTGCGCTGGAGAAACGTTTCAAAAGTAGAGGATCCGAAATGATGCATATATACACTGCGTGTTATTCATGTGTTAATGTTTTAGTTTAGCTTTTAGTCACTTAACCAATTTCTGGCGCTGACTTACCAGTCCTTTGACTGGTAAGTCAGCAGATCTTATTGTTATGGTCAAGGTTTCTGCCAACATAACTCTCAGTTAGTTGAGTGAAGGCTTCTGCTAACATAACTCTCAGTTAGTTGAGTGAAGGCTTCTGGAAACATAACTCTCAGTTAGTTGAGTGAAGGCTTCTGCCAACATAACTCTCAGTTAGTTGAGTGAAGGCTTCTGCTAACATAACTCTCAGTTAGTTGAGTGAAGGCTTCTGCTAACATAACTCTCAGTTAGTTGAGTGAAGGTTTCTGCTAACATAACTCTCAGTTAGTTGAGTGAAGGTTTCTGCTAACATAACTCTCAGTGTAGTTGAGTGAAGGTTTTCTGCTAACATAACTCTCAGTTAGTTGAGTGAAGGCTTCTGCCAACATAACTCTCAGTTAGTTGAGTGAATGTTTCTGCGAACATAACTCTCAGTTAGTTGAGTGAAGGCTTCTGCCAATATAGCTCTCAGTTAGCTGAGTGAAGGCTTCTGCCAACATAACTCTCAGTTAGTTGAGTGAAGGCTTCTGCCAACATAACTCTCAGTTAGCTGAGTGAAGGCTTCTGCCAACATAACTCTCAGTTAGTTGAGTGAAGGCTTCTGCCAACATAACTCTCAGTTAGCTGAGTGAAGGCTTCTGCCAACATAACTCTCAGTTAGTTGAGTGAAGGCTTCTGCTAACATAACTCTCAGTTAGTTGAGCGAAGGCTTCTGCCAACATAACTCTCAGTTAGTTGAGTGAAGGCTTCTGACAACATAACTCTCAGTTAGTTGAGCGAAGGCTTCTGCCAACATAACTCTCAGTTAGTTGAGTGAAGGCTTCTGCCAACATAACTCTCAGTTAAAGTGAAGGTTTCTGCCAACATAACTCTCAGTTAGTTGAGTGAAGGCTTCTGCCAACATAACTCTCAGTGTAAAAGAATTTTAATGTACTTAAAAATCTGATCTCAGTTCTTCCCCCTGTGTAATGAATGTGTTGGGTGGTATGACAGAACTTCCACTCCATGTTAACAAATCTAACAATATTTTCCGTACGTAGTGCTGATGACAGCTAACTTCCAAGGCAACGTGGAGGAGAACCTGTCCGTGTTGAAGGAGCTTCAGCCAGACAGACCTTTCATGGTGGCGGAGTTCTGGACGGGATGGTTTGATCACTGGCTCGCCGACATCCATGCCACTTGGAACCCAACCAGTGAGCAACCTGACACTCTAGTTATATTGCTAGTATATTCATCCCGTTTTCTCAGTTACAGTCAGTATTTCACTGTCGCTAAGTTGGACGAGTCACTATTAATGAACCGTAAATATTGGCGATAATTTGGTCTGGTTCGTTCAAGCTCTGATAACGTTTTATGGTTTGTTCTATTTGACGTATTAGAATTGTGGGACGTTGAAATTGGTTATTTGTTTTAAATAATAAAGACAAAATAATCTGTTCAATTCAAACCTAACCTAAATTACTCTAACTTAACATAACTTAACCTAAACTTACCGAACCCAACCTAACTTAACCTTACGTAACCAACTTACTCTAACTTAACCTACTCTAAACTAACCTAACCTAATCAAACTTAACCTACTTGGGCCTCTGATACAATAAGTGTCAGGGGCCCAAGACTGTTCAAATGCCTCCCAGCATACATAAGGGGGATTACCAATAGACCCCTGACTGTTCTCAAGAAGGTGCTGGACAGGCACCTAAAGTCAGTACCTGATCAGCCGGGTTGAGGTTCGTACGTCGGTTTATGTGCGGCCAACAGTAACAGCCTGGTGGGTCAGACCCTGATCCACCATGAGGCCTGGTCGCAGACCGGGCTGCGGGGGTGCTGATCCCCGAAACCTTCTCTCGGTATACTACAGGTATACCAGTGATTCTCTAGCATCACCAGTGATTCTATAGCACCACCAGCGATTCTCTAGCACCATCAGTGATTCTCTAGCACCACCAGTGATACTCTAGCACCACAAGTGATTCTCAACCACCATCAGTGATTCTGTAGCACACCAGTGATTCTCTAGCACCACCAGGGATACTTTAGCACCACCAGTGATTCTCTAGCACAACCAGTGATACTCTAGCACCACCAGTGATTCTCAAGCACTATCAGTGATACTCTAGCACCACCAGTGATACTCTAGCACCAACAGTGATTCTATAGCACACCAGAGATTCTATAGCACCACCACGGATACTCTAGCACCACCAGTGATTCTCAAGCACAATCAGTGATACTCTAGCACCACCAGAGATTCTCAAGCACCATCAGTGATACTCTAGCACCACCAGTGATTCAGTACCACCAACAGTGATACTCTAGCACCACCAGTGATTCTCTACCACCACCAGTGATACTCTAGCACCAACAGTGATTCTATAGCACACCAGAGATTCTATAGCACCACCACGGATACTCTAGCACCACCAGTGATTCTCAAGCACAATCAGTGATACTCTAGCACCACCAGATTCTCAAGCACCATCAGTGATACTCTAGCACCACCAGTGATTCAGTACCACCAACAGTGATACTCTAGCACCACCAGTGATTCTCTAGCACCACCAGTAATACTTTAGCACCACCAGTGATTCTGTAGCACACAACTGATTCTCTAGCACCACCAGTGATTCTCTACCACCACCAGTGATACTCTAGCACCACCAGAGATTCTCTAGCACCACCACGGATGCTCTAGCACCACCAGTGATTCTCAAGCACCATCAGTGATACTCTAGCACCACCAGAGATTCTCAAGCACTATCAGTGATACTCTAGCACCACCAGTGATTCTCTACCAACACCAGTGATACTCTAGCACCACCAGTGATTCTCTAGCACCACCAGTAATACTTTAGCACCACCAGCGATTCTGTAGCACACAACTGATTCTCTAGCACCACCAGTGATTCTCTACCACCACCAGTGATACTCTAGCACCACCAGCGATTCTCTAGCACCACCAGGGATACTCTAGCACTACAAGCAATTCTCAGGCACCATCAGTGATACTCTAGCACCACCAGAGATTCTCAAGCACTATAAGTGATACTCTAGCACCACCATTGATTCTCTACCACCACCAGTGATACTCTAGTATACCACCAGTGATTCTCTAGCACTACCAGTAATATTTTAGCACCACCAGCGATTCTGTAGCACACAACTGATTCTCTAGCACCACCAGTGATTCTCTACCACCACCAGTGATACTCTAGCACCACCATTGATTCTCTAGCACCACCAGTGTTAATCTAGCATCACCAATGATTCTCTAGCACGACCAGTAATTCTCGAGCACCACCAGTGATTCTAAAGCACCATCAATTGTACTCAAGCACCACCAGCGATTCTCTAGCACCACCAGTGATACTCTAGCACCACCAGCGATTCTCTAGCACCACCAGTGATACTCAAGCATCACCAGCGATTCTCTAGCACCACCAGTGATACTCTAGCACCACTTGTGATACTCTAACACCCTCCCAGTGATTATTTAGCACCACCAGTGATGCTCTAGCACCACCAGTGATTCTCCCAAACACACCAGTGATACTCTAGCACTACCAGTGATTCTCTACCTCCTCTTTTATCCCGATAAACTCACGCAGAAGGAATAGTGCGGAGTGGCGCATAGATTACTACTGCAGTATTAATGTATGATTCCCTAGCGTTTAATGTTTGTAGACTCATCCTCAAGTTATTTCTTTCAAACTCATTTATTTCGTAAAATAATCAAAATAAAACTTACAGAAACCAAAATCAATGCACCTTGAAGACGACGCTCGTCAGCAGTGAGATTTTGACGGTGACCGAAACTGGAAATCAGGAATTATCAGACAGAATCCATCAGTCGTACGCCTCTGTAGGTGAAATATATAGAAAAATCCTTTTTATAAAATGTATCAGATATTAAAATTGGAAACATTTAGAAAAGGCCTAGTCAAGATATTTTGCAAGAAAAATTACCAGACCATTTAAAAAATAAAATGAGAGAATTGGCACCTTTACGTAAAATTAAATATCTTCTGTATAAGATACACCAGGTTTTTTTAAGTTTGAAGCCGATCCGAAGGTTCTTTCTCAAGTTATTACATGGAAACTATCGGGGATGGTCTATGAAAAGTTGTCCATAAGGCACTTACGCTTGTTCACTGTGTCGTGACACTTCCCCGAGGTATAGTTCACTTGTTCACTGTGTTGTGACACTTCCCCGAGGTATAGTTCATTGTTCACTGTGTTGTGACACTTCCCGAGGTATAGTTCACTTTTTTCACTGTGTTGTGACACTTCCCCGAGGTATAGTTCACTTGTTCACTGTGTTGTGACACTTCCCCGAGGTATAGTTCACTTGTTCACTGTGTTGTGACACTTCCCCGAGGTATAGTTCACTTGTTCACTGTGTTGTGACCACTTCCTCGAGGTATAGTTCACTTGTTCACTGTGTTGTGACACCTTCCCGAGGTATAGTTCCACTTGTTCACTGTGTTGTGCACTTCCCCGAGGTATAGTTCACTTGTTCACTGTGTTGTGACACTCCCCAGAGGTATTGTTCACCTTGTTCACTGTGTTGTGCACTTCCCCGAGGTATAGTTCACTTGTTCACTGTGTTGTGACACTTCCCCGAGTATAGTTCACTTGGTTCACTGTGTTGTGACACTTCCCCGAGGTATAGGGTTTACTTGTTCACTGTGTTGTGACACTTCCCGAGGTATAGGTCACTTGTTCACTGTGTTGTGGGCACTTCCCCGAGGTATAGTTCACTTGTTCACTGTGTTGTGACACTTCCCGAGGTATAGTTCACTTGTTCCTGTGTTGTGACACTCCCCGAGGTATAGTTCACTTGTTCACTGTGTTGTGACATTCCCCGAGGTATAGTTCACTTGTTTACTGTTTTTGTGACACTTCCCCGAGGTATAGTTCACTTGTTCACTGTGTTGTGACACTTCCCCGAGGTATAGTTCACCTTGTTCACTGTGTTGTGACACTTCCCCGAGGTAATAGTTCACTTGTTCACTGTGTTGTGACACTTCCCCGAGGTATAGTTCACTTGTTCACTGGGGTTTTTGACACTTCCCGAGGGATAGTTCACTTGTTCCCCTGTGTTTGGGGACACTCCCCCGAGGTATAGTTCACTTGTTCACTGTGTTGTGACACTTCCCGAGGTATAGTTCACTTGTTCACTGTGTTGTGGACACTTCCCCGAGGTTAGTTCACTTGTTCACTGTGTTTTGACACTTCCCCGAGGTATAGTTCACTTGTTCACTGTGTTGTGACACTCCCCGAGGTATAGTTCACTTGTTCACTGTGTTTGTGACATTCCCCGGGTAAGTTCAATTATTCCCCTGTCTTGTGACCTTCCCGAGGTATAGATCACTTGTTCACTGTGTTGTGACACTTCCCCCAGGTATAGTTCACTTGGGTTTACTGTGTTGTGGACACTTCCCCGAGGTGTAGTTCACTTGTTCACTGTGTTGTGACACTTCCCCGAGGTTAGTTCACTTGTTCACTGTGTTGTTGACACTTCCCCGAGGTATAGTTCACTTGTTCACTGTGTTGTGACACTTCCCGAGGTATAGTTCATTGTTCACTGTGTTGTGACACTTCCCGAGGTTTTAGTTCACTTGTTCACTGTGTTGTGACAACTTCCCCGAGGTATAGTTCACTTGTTCACTGTGTTGTGACACTTCCCCGAGGTTATAGTTCACTTGTTTCACTGGTTTGTGACACTTCCCCGAGGTATAGTTTCACTTGTTCACTGTGTTGGTGGGCCTTCCCGAGGTATAGTTCACTTGTTCACTGTGTTGTGACACTCCCCCGAGGTATAGTTCACTTGTTCACTGTGTTGTGACACTCCCCCCAGGGTATAGTTCGCTTGTTCACTGTGTTTTTGACACTCCCACGAGGTATAGTTCACTTGTTCACTGTGTTGTGACACTCCCCCGAGGTATAGTTCACTTGTTCACTGTGTTGGACAACTTCCCCGAGGTATAGTTCACTTGTTCACTGTGTTCTGACAGTTCCCGAGGTATAGTTCAATTGTTCACTGTGTTTGTGACACTTCCCCGAGGTATAGTTCACTTGTTCACTGTGTTGTGACACTCCCCCGAGGTATAGTTCACTTGGGTTTACTGTGTTGTGACACTTCCCCGAGGTTTTAGTTCACTTGTTCACTGTGTTGTGACAAATTCCCCCA